AGCACGAAATGATGAGGCCGGGAATAGGACCATCCCCGGACCCATACTCCTTGGCTACATCAGACTACCAAGATGTTAGAGAAGAAAAAGCACCCAAACAAAATACATACCACAAGTGTAGCAACCTGTTTTCCCAAAGCCGAGTGGCTGGGACCCGGGGGAATCTGCCGGGCGGCACTGATGATGGCCATGATCTGGGCAGCGGATGCCTTGAGATGGGTCAAAGAGTTGTCAACTGGAGTGGACATGATGAGTGGGTTGAGAGATTTAAAGATCTTGAAATCAGATTGAAATCAGTTATCAGAAAGATGAAGTTTCAAACAAACAAGACATTTGATGGGCGATCCACAAAATCGTTTATTGTTTGTGTTTGTTTGGTCGTGGTTCAACTTTCGGCAATTGCCGGCTTTGTGTTGAACTTCGAAGTTTTTTAGATCATCAGTCAATCAGTCCACCAATTCTCCACACATGAGTGCCCATCCAGCCGTTAGATTTAATGACCCACCGGTGACCGACTATAATTCTATGGATGTGGATGACTCATCTATGGGCCGGGCATCACTAGGTATGTTGTATTCTTATCATGCCTTATCTATTCACCGGGTATCCCTTAGATGACTTAGATGACTTATACCTCGGGCCGGATGATGACATAGAATATGATTCTATGTCATCCGGACCCCCGGATGCGTCGGCTGCAATACCCGGTATGACTATACATTACTGATGACCTGGGATCACCATGCATGCTAACTTCACCCTTGAAGATCAATCACATCCGGGTCAAGCTGATGATGCCAGCTGTCTCATTGATCCAGACTTGTACCTCGGGCCTGAGGATGATGTCATTGATGTTGATGAGTTGCTGGACTCTGCTGATCCTCCCACTTTTGCTCCGGCTACCTCAGAGGTGTCTATTTCATGTGGGTCCATTCATTCTGGACCATTATGGAGACTGATCTTATCTCCCAAGCCGACAAATCATCTACCGAACTCCCTGCAGACCAGCCGGAGCTCAATATCGAGGATGTACGGTTGATGGTCCGGGAGCTCCATCCTTTCGGAAAATACCAACACCCAGAATGTGAGTATCTGAAAGCAGAGCAGTTATCTTTGAGCTAATCTTTCTGGAAGACCAATCCGTCCAAGATCGACTCCATGATTACAAACGCCGTACTGGAGGTCTTCCTGACCCTTCCATCCAACAACTAATCGAGGCCGAGCGTCCATTCCGAACTGCTTGGGCAGAAACATCCGACAAACTGAAAAAAGCTGATGCAGACCTGCAGAGGTTGCAAAGAGTTGAACAGATGAGCATTGAAATGCTCAGGGTAGTAGATTCCATGATTGAACACTTTGAAGAACAACTGACCATGTAAATTACTGCATTGCAACCTGTGAATTTTCATTGACATCCCCACATCATGTACACTACCGAATTTTTCAATACATGTCCCCGGGTGTCGAACGGGACTCGATACACGATGGTCGGGATTCGATAATTGGGACTCAACACTCGGGACTCGATAGTCGGGACTTGATGTTTGATATTCGGGAGTCGATAATCGGGACTCAACACTCGGCACTCGATTTTCGGGACTCGATGTTCGATGCTCGGACTCGATGCTCAATAGTCGGGACTCGGTGTTTGACGAATCTCGGGGTTCGGGACTCGAGGTTCGATAGTCGGGATTCAATGTTTGTGACTCAATAGTCGGGACTCAATAGTCGGGACTCAATAATCGATATTGACTAGTGGGGACTCTGCATATCATATTAGGTCTGATATATGAAAGTTACACATTGACATGTAAATACAAGCAGGTAATGGCAGGCAGTGTAGTATCAGCCCATTACTTCTTTCCCCTTGCTCTCGTCACTCGAGTGCTTGTGTCCAATGGCTGCTGTGTTGACTTACTCCGGGTTGTCCTCGCCGATGGCTCAATCACCGCTTTCTTTCCCCGCATGTTCTTCAGCGCCGGCGACCTATTGACTCGTTCTGTTGCACCATCCTCCTGAACATTGCGAGTGACTCTCGCAGTCAGCCCAGTCAGGAGGTCGCCCATTCGCGATGTCAGCAGTGCACCAGTCTTCCCTGCATTGACCGGGCGAGGCTTTGGAATTGCATGTGGGACCGCTGTCCCTTCATGTGCTGTCGAAGGACCAGGCTCTGTTCTGGGTCTCTTTTGCGGGGATCTACCTTCCTCTGTGTCATCATCAGCATCATCCTCCATGTGATGAGTGTCGTCCTCGGGATTGCTCTCTGGATCACTCTCGTGATTGGCCTCGGGATCACTGTCAGTTTCGGTCGATGAATTCCGAGGCCTTCGGATCATAACTCGTCTGGCATTACGAGTCCGATGAGAAGGTGAATTTCCGGATACAACCGAGGCTACCATGTCCCCATCTCTGTTCCTCCATGCTTTGAACAGGAATGTTGGACCTTCGCCTTTCTCCTGCCGAGCATACCAGAAATTCAGTAAGGCGGTCGTGTCCCAATGTTGCAACTTCGAAGGCTCCTTCAAGTCCACATCCGCCGGAAGATATGTTCTTGCCACAAAGTCATCCTGACTTTGTACGATGGCGCTCCATGGCACAACTGCCTTGACAATCCCAGAACAGATACCTGTATAAATGCATTCAACAAATGTTCGGGTGTTGCGACGACGGACTCACGATAGTGCGATGTGAGAAATGCTCTGACGATGGCTTTCTTCTCCTCAAGTTTCGTCTCGGTGATGTCAGGAAGCACCGGCATCCCATCCCCATCAATTTCGAGTTCGAAAGCAGGCTTCCTGATTCTCTTTCGACCTCCATTCACCTGTCGCCCACCATCTCGTGCCCCAGCACCTATCATGACAAAGATCAACCAATTCATTCCAGTAGCCAGAGATCAAACACTCACCGAATTGTTCCTGCGCGTACTCCTGCCAAACTGGCTCGATGTCCTCCCAGTCCTTCGTCTTCATGAAACTTTCCCCATCTCCTAATGCCTCGTTATCATCGTGCCTGCATGAAATGTATTGAGATCGAAGATCGATGATCTGCGATGACAAAATTGACTTACATCCCGAACAGCACCTCTCCCTGTTCATTCTTCCATGCCGACATCACAAACACTCTCATCCCGCATTGCCTCCACATCTCCTTCGAAAAGTGCTCCATATACGCCGGTCCCTTCTTACGAGCCACTTGTGCTTGTATCTCGGGAGGAGGAAAGTTGCTGGACCATTCTTCAGCCGTGTCTTTCGCCTTCTCCAACTCATCATCGGACAATTCAGCCATGACTCTTTTTACAGCCGCCTGATAATGCTTGAACATACCGGGACCTCCTGGCTTTGCCCCGGACTCGTCCTCAATCCTCTTCAGCACCTCCTCCCGTTTCTGCTGGTAGATCACCTGCCTAGGAGTCCATTTCCTCCCATACTTTATCATGTCCTTCCTCTCCTTCTTTTTCTGGTTGTTGAACAACCATGTCTTGTACATCTGAGAGTTCATGGAAGAATAAGTTGTTAAAATTTTAGTTTTGAATGAAGCAAGGATGAATCACCTGCTTCCTCTTCTTCCATTGTGCTTGGTCGACCTTGGGAGCAAATAGCCTGGCAGCCCTAGCTATGGCAGTGAAAACTGCCCTCTTCTCAATCCTTTTCGCCGAAGTCCACTCAGGAAGGTAGTTCTTCAACTCCGAAATTTCGTTATCCGTGAGCTTCTGTGTCTGTGGTTGACGCGCCCTATGTCTTCCAGAAGTGGAAGTCAACTGAGTGGAATGACCTGATCTTGCCATTGTGAATGAGATTGCAGAAAGGGCTGAGGATGAGCAAGGTGGAAGTAATATAGGTGACAAGTTCAACTTTGAGCAAAGCCTAACAGTTGGTTAATCGACCCATAGTGGACGCAATTCCATTATTGGAAATGAATTTGTAATGACGCATCAAGCCCGCATAAGATCACATTGCAATAACAATTTATTCGCATTCCTGAGCTCGTGCTTTGCTTGCAGCCTTAGAAAATAACATGAAGATAGGTAGATGCACCCCACTGCAAAGATCCCACAGGGTAGAAGCAAGGGGAAGCAGAGGTAGGAAAATTTGGGTCAAGGTCCCACTTGCAAGCACAAAAAGACGTGCATACAGGTCCATGCCTAGCTCTCCCCCAGAATCACCAACACTTCGGCCTGTTGAGGCACCACCTCTTTGGGAAGACATTCCTGATAATACTTACGAGCAAGACCAAGGCTCATTTGAGCCTTTGCAACTCCCAAAAACCATGGCAAGTTCATGTAAAATGTTGCATTGCAATTCAAATGATAGCTAAGTATAACAAATCCAGAGTCAGAATGACTACCTCAGGCAATGGCTGCCAAGGCAGAAATCATATCTGCATCACCTCCTGGATCGAGAAGCTCCACCAGAAGATAGGAGATGCGTCGTCTGCGACCAGGATGGGGTCTACAAATGTCAAGATTGTCTTGGGGAGCCACTCTATTGCACTGGCTGTTGCAGAAGTCAACATCTTTGCAATCCCTTCCATTGGATCAGTCAATGGAATGGTCAATTCTTTGAGCAAAGTTGTCTCGCTCACGTCGGACTCGTCATACACCTCGGTCATGAGGGCAAACAATGTCCGGTACTTACGGATAGGTGGGACTTGTTCGAAGAAGATGAACCGGAAGACCAGCTTGAGCCTGAAGATCTACCATCTGTGTCGGGACCCGAGTTCCAGCCGAAGGAAAACACCATGGTCATCATTGACAAGTCCGGAGTTCATCGCCTCCGGGTTCGATGCTGCGATTGTCCAAATGCCATGAGTCCAGACCTTCAAATGTTTCGACATGGATTTTTCCCCGCTTCATTTAACAAGCCGAAGACTTTATTCACCTTCAGGGTTCTCGATGATTTTCTACTGGACAACCTTGAATGTGGGACCTCGGCAATGAACTATTACAGCAAGCTCCGGCGAATGACCTCGAGGATGTTTCCACACCTTGTACCGGTAATGCCATGTCTCTCTCATCTAACGGACATTATATTGACAAGGCATGGGGCAAGGACCGATACCGAGAGCTCATGAGAGTCGCCCGACAGTGGAGGCAGTTGAAGACGATGAAATGGCATGGCTTCGGCCATTGTTCCGACAGCCCGAATGCAGGAGATCTCGCATTATTTTGCCCGGCATGTCCTCAGCCTGGGATTAATGTGTCCTTCTCAGGGGATGAATCACTTGATGAGTGAGTCTTCCTCGATACCGAAGTCACCTCAGCGATAATAACAACTCCAAGGTGGAAATACACCCGGTCATTTGTTATGGATGGAAATTTCAAAGCTGAACACCTGCATCCCATGAAGCCATTTGATGAAGTTTGGCTGTCAGATGGGTTGGGATTCATGGTGGGAAAGGACAGGTATAACACGCATCTTGCAGAGGCTGCCGACACTTTAGAAAAATCAAGCTGCAACAATCACCGGGCAGTAAATCAAGCAAATGCGGCTCGGCACAAGCTGGAATCCACGGGCATCGGGGGAGTAGCCTGTGCGAGACACGGTTGCTTTGTTCCTCACTCGATGGTAGATTTTCAGAAAGGCGAAGGCAAGCCGACCCAGCCATTCAATATTCATGAGTTAACCATGCATCATTCGCAGACAAATGAACATGGACTATGCCCTTTGTGAGGCTGCCCGGCACAACATGGAAGGCATCACCAGGGCGGTCACCTTCTATTGATATCAACTGTCAATACAACAAGCACTTCGGGTTCGGGTGGATTCGAAGCCGATTTCTCGAAATGGTTCCGGAATTGACCATCATTCCGGAATCGGGTTGTGGCACATCCAACCGAATCAGGACAGCTGCTATGTCCGATATGCGTCGAATTTTATCGAAGGCATCGGTCGGATTGATGGAGAGATCATGGAGACCCTATGGTCACG